GCCGCAGATGAGTTATATCGGCGCTGGCCGGGCTCGCACGGTGGCCTGCCGTGATGGAGCCCCATGTACCGAGGTGAGAGTGTTCACCGGGTCTGACACCTGACGGCCGCCGGCCACAGAAAGGAGATCGTTCGTTCTAACGCTCGTCCGCACGCCATTTACGACCGGCGACGGAATTATCCTCGATAAATAAAAGAATTTTCAACGCTGCCCCGAGAACGAGTGTATATTTTGCTCGAGAGAGCGTGCCGCTTTCACGCGAGACGCATTTTTTTTATTCAAGCAGAACGAAGTTGGAAAGATATACCTGTATCTCTAGAAAATATGCTAAAGCCGAGAAAATTATATAAAAAAATTATTTAATGTTACGGAATTTGAGTTTATGCTGCACGCAGGGTTTTGGAGCATAAAGAGAGAAAATTGTATATAAAATAAAGTATACGCATGTATTTGTATATTATAAATCTTATGTAAAATCTGAACGTAAAAGTAAAAATGTTTCGATCGCACTTTGCGATATGAATGAGATGCGGAGAAAAGTGAAGAGCTCGACGTGAGATTTTCGCGCGCAATGCCAGATGCCATTCAGAATGATCGGGGCCAACGAGTCGTCGTCTTTAAAGACGTGAGCGGAATAAGTAAGCGCGCCAGTCCTAGTGACTCTCTCGAATGTACATTACCGGTCTGCCAAGGAGATGATATCGGCGCAACACGCGCGCGTAAGCAAGGGCGGAACTTTTTCATGTCACTAACGACTCTAGACACTCGCACGCCACACGGCTTCGTTACTAACAATATCTACCTGAATGGATTATTATACCGCTCCGTCCGTTCCGACGCGTATACACATATATACCTATACGCGGCCGTGATATTCCAACCGGGGCGCATTGTGCGGATTCTTTTACGCGGCAGAGGCCGATAAGAGCGAATCTTACGAAGGGCAGAACGAGAGGGAGGGAAAACGCGTCGATAATCATTCGATTTGATGCGACGGCTATATAAATTCTTTATGCGGCCAGAGAGAGAGAGTCTGCGCGCTATCAACGAACGCGGCCTTACATAATGCTCGACCGAGCACAACGGACCCGAGAACAAAGGACGCGTTCTCAGGGACGAATTGTGCTCTCTCGTCGGATGCTTAACGCGCGCCGCTACAGTTGGTCAAGTCGATTTTGCGCGAGTCGCCGCCCGTAATGATCCGCTGTCCGGAGCTAAGCGCATCCCCACGACTGCATCCTCCCGTTTGTGCCAGGTCTGCGCGTTTATAAATATTCATGTAGACATCTCAAGGATCCTCCCGACCACCGCGCGATTCAGGACAACCGAGATAGGGTTCGGCTTATATTCGTATAGAACAAGAAGCAGTTGCATGTAACATTTATCAAACTGTACGGAGAACATTTTCTATTGGGATTTACCCTGAAAATCAGGGTAGTAGTATAGTAAAGAATTTTACTGGGGTTTCAATTCCCTTACAATTAATATTTAGCATATTATATTTATTAATATATATTAATATAATAAAATATTAAAATAAATCATATTAAATTTTATTATATTAACCTATAAACCTCTTAATATATTAATTAATTAAAATTCCTAAGGGTTGGACTTCCGCTTTGGGTCCCGTTGTCCAAACATCTCCCCTTGCTTCTGCCCAACCCCATGTACACACACACACGCTTCTCCCCTTTTTTTTATTCTTTTCTTAAATCATTCTTACTTCCGTTTCCTCTCTCTCCTCCATTTCCTCCTTTCCCCTCACCACATTCTTCTCCTCCTCATCCTCTTTCCCTCTCTCTCTATCTCTCTCCATCTTCCCCTTCTCCCTTTCTCTAGTATCTCCCTCACTACTTCCTGCCAACTCTCTTTCCTCTCCCTCTTCACCTCTATACATGCAATCGATTTCTCCTCTCCACATATCCTACATTTCCTCATTCTTCCCTCCAATATCTGCTACTTAAATCACTTCCCAAATCTCTATCCTCTTTCCTCTCTCCAATATCCTTCTAAATCAACTCCTTCTCCCCAATCCTTCTCAACTTTCTATTCCTAACCTCCTGTACCATCTGTTAAATTCCGATCCCTTTATCTCTCCTCTCTTCTCTGCTCCTCCAGATCCCTCCTTATTCTCCAAACCATCCCTCCTCCATACCTCTTCTCTCCTACCTCTATCCTCCTACCTCTTTTCCTAAACTTCCCTCCCTTTCTTCCGATCCCACTCTTCCTATTTTTCCTTTCTCTCATTTCCTCCCAGCATTTCCTCGCTAGCTCGCTTCCTCTTCCTTCCTCCATTCTCTTCTCGAAATTCCATGCCCTTTTTCCGGCTCTTATCCTCAGCTTCTCTCTTCTCAGTTCCTCCCTCACCATATAACCTGGCGTTCCCCTCTCTACTCCTAATATCCATCTCAGGTATCTTTCTTCCATCCTTTCCATTCCCTCTCTCTCCTTCCACCCCCATATTTCCACCCCGTAGCTCATCACTGTCCACACCAATTTGTCGAAAAGCCATAATCTTCTCCCCCAATCTTTTCCAAACTTTCTCTTTCCTATTCCCCATACTTGCCCCATAATAGCCGCCGCTCTCCTCATCCTATCTTTCACTTGTCCTTCTTGTCCTCCATTCCTCTGTAGTCTATATCCCAGATACGTAAACTCCTTCACTTCCTCCATTTTCTCTCCTTTCCATCTCCACTCCCTCTTCTTCCATCTTCCTCCCTTTCTCCTAAACCTCATTATCTTCGTCTTCTTTGCGTTCAGCTCCAATCTCTTGTTGTCTAGATATTCTTCTAACCTTTCTACCATACTTCTCAGTTCCTCTTCCTCCTCTACCAACAACACCATATCATCCGCGTATGCCAATGTATAAATCCTTTTTTCTCCTATTCTTACTCCTCCTCTTTTCACCTTCCCCATTTTTTCCTCTAAGTCCGCTATTAGGATGTTGAATAGTATTGGACTCAATGGGCACCCCTGTCTTACTCCTTTCTCAATCCAAAAACTCTCTCCAACTTCTTCCCCTATCTTTATCCTGCATGTTGTCTCTCTCATCACCATCTCTACCCTTCTTCTCAATCCTTTCCTTACTCCTCTCTCCTCCATTGCCTCCATTAATTTCTCCCTGTCTACCGAGTCAAATGCTGCTCTCAGATCTATAAACAATGCCGTTAGCCTTCCCTCTTTTTTTTCCAGTTGTCTATTGATTAGATAATTCATCACGTATATGTTGTCTATTGTTCCCATTCCTCTCCTAAACCCCATCTGATTTTCTGGCACTATCCCTTTTTCCTCCACATCCTTCCTCAATCTTTCTGTCAGTATCATCGTGTAAACCTTATACATTGATGGCATCATGGTTACTCCCCTGTAGTCTTCCACCTCCTTTCCATCCCCTTTTTTCCTTATCGGTGTAATCACTCCCTCTATCCATCTCTTCGGCCATCCTTCTCCTCTCCATATTCTATTACAAAAATCCAGCATCCAATCCTCCACGTTCCCTCCTCCATACTTCCATACCTCATTCGGAATCTCATCTATCCCTGTCGCTTTTCCTGCTTTCAGCTTCTTTATTGCCTCTCTCATTTCCTCTCTACTTATTTCCTCCTCCTCCTCCTCCTCCTCCTCCTCCTCCTCTGTCCTGTTCCCCTCCTCTCTTCTTTCCTTTCTTACCTTTCTCTCCTCTGTTCCTCCTAACAACTTCATAAAATATTCTCTCCACTTTCTCATCTCAATTTCTTCGTTTATTCCTTTCCATCTTCTTCTCTCTCTGTTTATTATCTCCCATACCTCCGATTCTCTTTTCACCTCTGCTGCCTTCTTTTCCCATTTCTCGTTTTCTTCCTTTTTCTTCCTCTCACACAATCTCTTGTAATCCCCTCTTCTCTTCCTATATTCCTCCCCCTCACCTCCTTCCCTCCACCATCTCCTCAGCTCCCTCCTTACCTTTCTTTTCTCCTCTCTGCACTCCCCATCCCACCATCCTCTTTTCTCCTTCTTTCCTTTCCTCCAGTCCTCCTCTGTTGCTCTTAATACTTCCTTCATCCTCTCCTCTATTCTTTCCCATTCTCCATCTATCTCTTCCTCTCCTCCTCCTATTTCTCCTATCTCCCCCACTTTTCCCTCAAAAATCCTCCGGCCCTCCTCATTCCATACTCCTCTCCTCCCTCCTCTCGACTTTCTTCTCTCTCTTCTCTGCCATCCTTCTATCTCCACTTCTATTGGGTGATGATCTGAGTCCACCTTGTCTCTTATTCTTAACCTTCTCACCTTCTCTCCGCTATCCTCATTCCCAATTACGTAATCTATAACCGTGTTCCCTCTTCCTCCTGTAAAAGTCCATTCTCCCTCCTCATCTCCCTTTGTGTTACCGTTCATTATGCTCCAACCTCTTTCTCCCATGAATTCCAGTAGTTTTCTTCCCTCTGCATTGATTAATTTGTCTTTCGACTTTCTTTTCTTTTCCTCTTTCCTCTCCTCTTCCGCATTCTCCTTATCTCTGATTCTACCCCCCTCTTGTCCTGTCCTCGCATTAAAATCTCCTCCTATTATCGTGTAAACCTCCTCCTCTTTCTCCTCCGTCCACTTCTCCATCTCCCTGCACGCCTTCTCTATTCCTTCTCCTACGTATACTCCTATCACCCTCCATTTTTCCTTCCCTATCTTTACTCTTCCTACCACAAAGCCCTCCTTACTCAGCTCCATCATTCCTCCCTTCTCTGCAATCTCCTTTTTTATCCCCATAATCATGCCTCCTTTCGCTCTTCCTCTCTTCTTCTTTCTACTTGCTCCTTGCACTCCCCATACGTATCCTTTCGGTAGGTACCTTCTCATCTTCTTCCATCCTTCCTCTTCCATCCATGTTTCTGATAACACTATTACATCCCATTCCTCTAATCCTTTCCAAAAATCTATGTCCTTATTCCCTACTCCCGCTACGTTCCAGAAAACTACCTTCCATCCTTTTCCTCTCTTCTCCTTTTCCCTCTCTCTCTCTATCTCTACTTTAGCCCATCTTCCTTTCTCCTCTCCTCTTCCCCCATTATCATATTCTTTACATTTCCCTTCTCATCTCTCAGCACTTCCTTCTCCTCATCCCATCTCCACCATTTTTCTCCTATTTTTAACTTGCCATTACTTACCCATGTCCTTTCTCCTCTTTTCTCTTCTCTCCTTGCTATCTCTCCCAACTTTCGTCTTATCTCCCTTTCTTTCCATGTTAAATCCGTGTCTATCCTTTCTTTTCTGCCTTTCAGCCTCTTTTTCTTCTCCATCACTTCCCATTTCTGTTCTTCCTTCTCCAATTCCACCACCACCATTTCTCTCCCCATTTCTCTATCCTCCCCTATTTTCCTTATTTTCATTATCCTCGCTCTTGCCTCTATCTCCTCTAACAATTTTTCGGCTCCCTCTCTTCTTTTCCCCTCTTTGACTAATAAGCCTTTTATTACTATATTCTTTCTTTTTTCCTCTTTTTCTAATATCTCCCATTTCCTTTCCATTTCCCCTACTCTCTTCTGTAAACCATTCCCTGTGTGCTCTCTTCTTTCTCTCTCTCCCTCCTCCTTTTCCTCCATCTTCCTCTCCAGTCCCTCTATCCTCCTCTTCATACCTTCCATGTTCTCTATCATTTCTTTCTTCTCTCTTTTCCACCTTTCCATCTGTATCTTGTAATCTCTCCTTATCTCCTCCATCTCTCCTCTTATCCTCTCTCCCTGTTCCTTTATTTCCTCCCTGATCTCCCTCATTTCTTGCCACATATCTTGCAACAATCTTTTGATCTCTTCCTTCTCTCCATCCTCTTCACCACCTTTTTCCGGTGATCTCGTTGTCTTGTTGCTTCTCTTAAAGATCTCACCGCTCCCTTCTCCCGTTTTTTCCTCTAACTCCCTTTTTTTCCTCTTCAGTAGATCTTCTATATTCCCTAGACTTCCACTTCTTTCTTTTCCCTTTTTACCTACCGATCCTATTATTCCTCCTCCCTCCGCTCCCTTGCCTCCCTCTTTCTTCCCGCTCCACATGCTTTCAGACCCTTTTAATCCAAATCCTCTCCGCTTTCCTCTCTATACTCTTCCTTTCCCCTGTCCCTCTCTTTGCCTACTTCTCGCCACTCTACGTTCTTCCTAATCCTTGCTTCTTCTTTCCTAAATTCCCTAGCTATTCCCTAGCACCTTTACTCTATTTTTCTGCACCCCGCTTTCTTTCTTTATACCCTATACTCCCTGCCCACTCTCAGCTGTCACCAGCCTCCTATTTCTCTCTTTCCTACTTTCTCTGTCTAACTATCCTCTCTCACACTACTCTCTCACCCTCTCACTCTTCTCCCTCTTCCTTTTCAAACTATCCTCTCCACTATCTCTGTGCTCTAACCCCTTTAATCGCCCTCAACTCTTCACTATCACACACCACGTGTACTCTAATTCTGCACCGGAAACGGAAGTCTAATAGTCATATAATAAATGTATTATATGACTTATATATTTAATATAAATTTATTATATGACTTATATATTGATAAATAAAAATTATATTAAAGATAAATTAAAAAATATTTTTTAGTAAAATTTTAGTAAATTTTAATAAAATTAGTAGCCTTTAATAATATTTGTCGTTTTTTTATAATTATTTTATTTTATTTGTAGTATCGTTTAAACGCAGTGGCTATTAAACTTTTTTCCTTCTTTTAAAATACGTAATAATATGAACACACACACACACACACACACACACACGGAGTATCTTACAACTTTCGTGTAAAAATTTTTTTCAAAACCAATAGCATATAGTTTTTGTCAAATTAAATAGTTTCAATATTTGTTGTACATCTTGTGTATATAGTTGTGTATATATAGTTGTGCATATGTATATGAAATGTATATACAAATGTAAGAAGCATTTTGCAGTTCATTATATTATATATGATTAAATTGATATATGTATATACAGGGTGATTCAAAACAACCGTTTGTCCTTAAAATGTCGTATTCCTGACTCAATTCTAAGACGATTTTTCCTTTGCCAAAATTTTATCCGAAGCTTAGTTTTTGAAATATAAAAAGAAATAGTTAGCGAATTACAGCACGAGTACGGGCGGTAATCAGGAGCGGCGCAACACATTATCCGACGCGGGCGATTACGTGGGCGCTCGAAGCGATCAGCTGTTTGTTACACGCGGCGTTTTGTGTGTGTGTGTGCGTGTGTGTGTACGCGTATACACACACACACACACACACACTCTCTCTCTCTCTCTCTCTCTCTCTCTCTCACTGATTCTTACCTTGTAGAGATGTTTGATGTCCTTTGACGAATAATTGTTGCCTGACTGGATACAATCCGATATTGACACACTGTGACACACTGCATAATGAAATCATTTTTTTGTAATAAATTCTATTGACACTTTGACTCACGCACTTGATTAAAAATTATTGTAATAAATAACTGATTACAAATTACAACACATAATCACAATCTGAGAGAATTTTCTCTTAGAATTTGCCCTGAAAATTGTGGTAATTGTAGGATAATATTGTATGGAAAAAATTTTATTAGAATTCCTCTAATTAATATTTATCACATTCAAAATAATAATATCTATCACAATAAAATATGAAACATGTTTTATTAATTTTACTAAACCGTAAAGTAAAATTAATGAAATATATTTTATATTTTATTGTGATAAATATTATTATTTTGAATGTGATAATTATTAATCAGAGAAATTCTAATAAAATTCTTTCCATACCATATTCTCTTACAATTACTATAACTTTTAGGGTAAATTCTAAGAGAAAATTCTCTCAGTGTTTTGATTAATTATTAAAAATTACTTGTAAAAACGCGCGGCGCGCACAGCACACGTTACTCGATGCGGACGGCAATAGTTTACACGGCAAGGACACGACAATCATAATCACAATCTAAGAGAATTTTCTCTTAGAATTTACCTAGAAAATTATGGTAATCGTAGGACATTATGATGTGGAAAGAATTTTATTAGAATTTCTCTACTATTTATCATATTAAAAATAATAATATGTATCACAAAAAAATATAAAATATGTTTGATTAATTTTACTATACAGTTTAGTAAAATTAATCACACATATTTCATATTTTATTGTGATAGATATTATTTTTAATGTGATAAATATTAATCAGAGAAATTTTAATAAAATTCTTTTCATACCGTATTGTCTCACAATTACCATAACTTTTAGGGTAAATTTTAAGAGAAAATTCTCTCAGTGTACCGATTAATTATTAAAAATTACTTGTAAAAAGGCACACGTTACTCGATGCGGACGACAATTGTTTACACGGCTAATAATTTATTTGATAAATGAGATTCAGGTAATATAATATATGTGAATATTATTAAAAAATAATTCATATTGTAAATAACTGTTTAGAACACTATTTTTCTGTCAAAACAAACAAAAATATGATTTTATCTTTTATTTATATCTCTGATATATAATATCGCTTCTATACATTATATTAATTCAGTGGTTTTTAACCGGTGCTTCACGGAACATTAGTGTTCCGCAAACGTGTTACAAGTGTTGCTCGAAATTATGAAAGCACAGCATATCTATACATAGAAAAAACTACTATAACTTTTTTTTAATTTTATGAATATTATTTTTTAAATTTAAATTTAAATTTTGTTACTGCTACATAATTTGTACTGTATAACTTTTAATAAAAAATATATTCATACATATTTTTGTTATTATCTTTATAATATTAATGATTTTGGTGTTCCGCAAATTTTTCCTATAATCAAAAGTGTTCTGTAACTTTAAAAAGGTCATTAAGAACCACTGTCTTCATTCATATAATAATATGCTAAGAAATTTATATTTTTTTATTCTTGAAAAATTCGACTAAAAATTTGAAGGAGTATAGATTTAAGAACAAATTATTATCATGAAATAAAGAAATTGTTAATTGCAGCCAATATTGCGATTATTGTTCCATGACGAATTAATCCCGCAAAGTGCTTATAACATACTAAAGATGTTAATTGGTTGCAACCAGAATTTTTATTTTGCGGAGGTGTGCGCCAATTTTCTCATATTTATTCCCAACGGTTACGACCCCGGGCAATTAAATTTAGTGAGTAATAATTCTTTCTGCAAATTATAATAATGAATTACAAAGGGATATACTAATATACAAATGCAAAACCACATATAAAATGACTAATAAAAATTAGGTGCTTATATTAAACACGACAAACTTGTCTCTATATTCTTCTCTAATTAACCCAGCAAACACCGATATATAATTGTTACATTGCTATAATAAAACGGAATATACCAGGTAATATAACGTGTATGTTACATGTAACATCCATGTTAGTTGTAATTTCCCACTCATAGATGTAACATTTTAATATAACATATATTACATTGTAGTTATATTGTAATTATATACCAAATAGCACATTGATGTATTGATAAGTCAGTGCTATCTTGGGATATAATGACAATATAACTACAATGTAATATATGTAATATTAAAAATGTTATATCTATGAATAGGAAATTACAACTAACATATACGTTACATGTAACATGCTTGAGTATATAACATTTATATACTGTGTTTGCTGGGAATTTACACAAAAAACAATAGTAGTATAGTGGGCACTATGGCCCGTCAAAACAAACCCCCACCACCGACCCGTCTGGCGCCGAGTCTTATCTTATCTTTCCCCCACCACCGGCGTCTGGTTTTTCCGAGTGTGGGTGTAGGGGGAGAGGGTGTTGGGAAAAAAAAATGGCGACAGGCCCCGAAAGGTGGGGATGAGAATTTTTTTTATTTTTTTTTTATTTTTTCTGATTTCCTCTGGATTTGAACCTGGGGCCTTCGTGTTTCCGAGCAGGGTCCTAGTATGTTGAGCTAAACGAGATCTTACTAGTCTAAGGATTAGATGAGGTATTTAAGCTAAAGTTGCGTAGGGTACGGTATGGGGGTACGGGTATACGTATGGCAAGGATAGCTCGTCGAATCAAATGGTCGATATTAGACGGGGTGGGGTAAAAACATTTTGACCAAGAAAAGCGTCATGCGGTCGACCGGGGATCGGTGGCAGGTAGTAACTGACAATGCCGTAGGGTAATAAAAAAAGAACACGCAAATATTTGTACTGGCGAGCATTCCGACTCGTGTCACGATAAAAAAAATAATGCATCATCGTAGATTAGAAAGAATGCTTATTGTTGAAAAGATGTCGGATAAAATTTTATTTTAAAATAACTCGCTGCTTAATGAAGGTAAACAGAAACATGGATGTTGAAGAAATTTCTGGAAAGAGGAAGTGAAAGAAAATTGAACAATGGTTTTAAAAGTACAAATATAATTTATATTTAAAATATTTTTACAGAATAAAATTATTCACAAACATTTCAAGAAAATATTCGTCGAATAATTATTAAAATTTACGTTTTGATATAATTGTATGTACAATTTGTTCGAAATAAAGTGAAATTATTTCTAAAAATGTTATCTCAAAGTATACATCGAGAAATGTTAAATCTTTCAGTTGGGTACGTACATTACGTTCTATTTCCTTACTGTTACCTCTGATCGTGAGTTTCACGATACTGTTATTAATGCTACCGTTGACAGGAAGATTTAACTGTATTTCGTTAATTAAATATCGAGCACATTCGTTGACATTAGTTGAAATAAAATTTAGACGATTTAAATTAGCGTTCACACAATCAACTATATTTTCTACACCTTGAAAAGTCGTTCTCTGCATGACTATCGCAATGTTGTAAGTTTTACGTTTCTTCGCCTTCGGTCCGTTTTCGTTCGTATCCTCCACAGTCTCGGAAGAAAGATCTTCTTGCTCGTTTTCACGATATGTTATTAGTATGGCTCTAGCACCATATGCGGTAGTGAAATTTACAATTATCTTGTTAAAGATGATCGAGCTCAAATTAATTTTATCACCGTTTAAGTAGCTCGACATCGTTTTCATGTTTTCTTGAAATTTTTGCCA